CTAAAGAATTAAACTATAACTACAATTAATAAGAACAAGCATAGGAAAATTATAAGAATTTTCTTGCGGGAAAATATTCTAAAAATGAAGTTGATTGTTCAAGCACATAGGTATCCCAAAATAGAAAATTTTTGGGCAAATAGAAAGTGCAAGGTTTCAATAATTATAAAATATTCTGCCCATGAAGGATCTACGTCGTAAAGTCTTCATTATATTGTAAGGACATCAACAAAGTCACATCAAGTCCTACATCACAATTTATTTAAAAAAAAAAAAAATGAAGAAACTAATTGTAGAAAGTCAAATTAGGATGCAGTTCATTATTGGAAATTTCTTTAAAATTTCGAATTAGAGTTCACTTTAATTGGCAAGTATTTTTAGGTCTTTCTTAGGATTACGTTAGTAACAATTACGTTTTCTCTAATTTTGGATATAGCTTTTAACTTATAATATGGTGCTGGCTGAGGGCACACGCAATGGTGCATTAAGCTAGCTCTTATGATTAAAAAGTCTGAATATCATTAACTGAGCTTAAGGGATGTGATATAAGATTAATTTGCAAATTACCCTTCTTGTCTTGAAAGTTTGAAAAACTAAGTGTAAATTAATAGGCAGTTAAACAAAAAAGATTCCAGCTTCAATCTTATTAATTACAAAAAATTCACCCTTAATTTTAAAAATTCAAGTGATGTTTATAGCTTTAATTAGTGCTTAAATTCAGAATTTAAGATGAAGTTTTTATCATAGGTCGATTAGGATAATTATTTTCTTTATCATTATTATTAATATGCATTAAAATAAAAGATATGCTCTTCTGTAACGTGCCATCAAAGATAGTAGCATTAATATGTATTAAAATATTCTTTTGAAGATTTTTGATCCCAATTAACAAAGATTTTGTAAAACGTAATCTACAAATATTCATAAATAGCAAACAATTAATTGACTACTAATTAAAAATATAAATAATAGCTCAGCTCAAACAGAAAGAAAATAGAGAAAATTAAAAACTAAAGAGAAGTAGAAATTACTAAAATTACATGCACATTAAGAAAACCCAATGCATTAGCTAAGTACCTGTGAATAAATGAACACGTGAATTTCGCATCACATACTCAACAAAGTAAGTGGCAATGTGGCATGGTCCAGAATTTGTATAAGTGGCATTAATATTAAAATATTATTTTTTTGTTTATATTTTTTTTTGATATAACATTGACAAAATTAAATAGAGAAAATATCACACAATATAATATAAATTTAAATAAATATATATATTTTCTTACAATTTATCCATAATAAAAATTTATTTCAATGATTTCTTATTTTACATAAAACTTTTTTCTCACTTTTCTATCGTGCCGATTAAAATGTTAAAAAATAATAGAAGGAGAAGGATAATAAAATATATTTTTTAATTTTTTTTATAGTGAGATTAAATTTGTACTATCAAATAATTAATTATCTATGAAATAATTATTATATCAAGTACATCAAACCAATAATCATTTATAAATTAGATCAGACTCGTCATGAGAAAAATCACACTTAATTAGTGTGATGACAACAAAGTGATGAAGAAAGAATTTTAATAAGAAATATACAAAAAGTTAAAATTAAAATAAAACTAAAAATGTTATTAATGAAAAGGTAAATCGAAATACATGTTAAAAATTTTTTCGAACTCAATTGTTAATGTTTTGAAAATTTCTTTTAAAAAATTATTAATTACTGCAACAAAGCAAAGCAACTTGAGTAATATTTCACAAACTCTATTATATTGGACATTGTTGCTTCCCTTAGAAAACTTTGGAATGCTTTTGTTACGGAATTAACCATCAAGTTCCCTCGGTTTGAGAAAAAAAATTATGTAGTTCCCTATGTGTAAATACTAAACTTAGCAATGATAAGGTAAGCTCTATCGATTGAGTTTTTCAACCATCGAAAGAAGTTATATAGGTTGGGTATCTCAACCAATATAGAAAGCTTTATAATTTTGAGTATCTCAATCAAGAAAGCTCTATAGGTTAAGTTTTTCATCAAGGAAAGAAGTTTTATAGGTTAAGTATCAACCAATAAAGAAAGCTTTATAGGTTGGACTAAGTTAAATGTTAAATGTGAAAGTCTAAGCATTTTGAATTAGCAAGATATTGAACTTGAAAAATTTTAGCCTTTAAGAAATTTTCAGACTTCGATTAGGTTCTACAAGTTAGTAAGCTTAAAAGGCTTGAACCATATAAAAAGTTTAGCCTTTGGCGAAAGTTGAAAGTGAAAGCAAATAGACATTCTTTCCATTTATTAGAAAGCATTTTGTCAAGAAAGGCCTAAGATATCTACTAGTTTATATAAGTCATGTTGAAAATGAATCTTAACACAATGTTAAAGCATCTGTAGATTGCATTGCTGAGGCACTAGAGTCCCCTTTGTGATGTATAATGCTGAAAACTTTGAGTTCACTGCAGAGAAAATGAAAAAAAGATTGTAAAAGCATTTAGGAAGTTTATGCAATATCTTTTAGAATTTAGCTCAAAGTGGTGGAAAAGGCCACAGTTAGGTCTTTAGTGATAAAAAAAGTAATTTCATATATATAAAAGACTAAAAATTTCATTTATGACCTTACTTTTTGGAAGCTACTATCAGTGATCGTGGTGTGAAGCTTTCTTCACTAAAATTTCTTTTCTGCTCTAAGTTGGTTAAAGAACCAAAGTGAACAAAATTTTATTGCCTGTTGTTTTCATGGTCTTTTACATGACACCTAGTCATTTTCCAAAACGTGTTGTGTATTTCTTTCTTTGAAATTTTCCAAACACTGCTGGGTCAATTTGACTAGATTGCTTGAAGAAAATTTGTATTTATCCGGTTTTCATGCTTTAATAATTTTTACTTGTATGAAATATTCACTATCCCAGCTTGGGTGCTGTCTCTATTGCTGTTAGTTAACAAAATGATTGTTGAATACAGAAGCATTACTTTGTTATGCTTTGCTGGGGCTATCAGGGTTCTTTGTTACATCCTGTGATTGAAGAGTGCGTAATGATTTGGCTCAGCCTTGTCGAGAATTATACCTCTGTTGCTGTCAGCGGGGTATAACTCTACTTGTAAACTTCGATGGACGTTGTTGAATTATACTGTCAGTTTGATATTTTAGCATTCATCATTAGTTTTGCTAAAACTTTGTCAACTTCATGTCGTTGATATACTAAAGGAGAATGCTTAAATCACTTAAACAGGGAAACTGCTGCGATTTATCACCGTCGACCTTATCTTCTCTTTCTCTTCCTTCGACCCCTCTTCTGCCAAATTTTGTCTCATGATTGGTATAGTAGAGTTCATTTCATGTTTATCTCTATGGTTACACCTTATATGTCTATATATGCTTATGTGCAAACCTGCAGCCAACACATGCACAAATACGTGGAAAGGAAGTGGCAATTTGCATCAAATTTTGTTCATGTAATGTTCAAAACCTTGCATGTCTTATACTATGTTTCATCTCTTTAGTCAATTACCCAATAATGTGCAATATGCAATTTACTAATTCAATGTGGAGGAAATGGTGGGTTTCCTTCAATCTGAAAGGAAAATCTACGCTCAAACTGTCAATTGTCATATATTTGGAGGCATCAAATAATTTTTTTAATCCTCCCCTCTTTCCCTCTTTTCTCTTTACTGATATGAAATGTGTCAATTATTTGTCCATTTATTCAACACAAAGAGTAACATTAGCAATCCTTCCTAAGGTAGCAAATTGTTGTTCTTTAACACAAAAAAGAACTCCACTTTAACCCTTTCACTGTTTTTTTTTTTTTTTTTTTACATTAACATCCTCTACCTATGCTCAAATCAATATTTTATTTATTTATCCTCCTAAGGTTTACTGTGCTGCTGTATACATGTTTTCAAATTGGAGCATTAAAGATAGCTCAAACCGATGATGTCTTTGGATGTTCTGTCACGTAGCTATTACTGTATCTCTGATTAATCGGCACTCACCTTTTCCTTCTTCTCTTTGAGACTTGTCACATTATGCATCTTTGTTTTGCTTTCCTTTTTCCTTTTGGTCTTGTTATTTATTTATCATGTGCCATCTGCACATTTTAGAAGAGTCTACCCTGAGTTGCACTTCAAGTTTGAAAATTATATTGGCTTCATTTTTGCTCATTGTATTATTGACCTAATTCTAAACCTTCCACTTCTCTTCCTCCTTCCCTTTCCAGTTCTCCTTTCATCGGTTAATCCTTGTGTTATTGGGGTGCCATTGTTATCGCTGCTGACACCGGACTGGGTTAATGGGGAAACAGAATATAACTTCAAATGGTCTGAAAAAAGTTTTACTAGGATCTGATTTACTTTAGAGCAGGTTGCATTTGCTTCTTATTTATTTGAGATACTAGGCTATTGAAGTATGATTATATTTGTTAAATGTCAAAAGTATGATTATGTCATACTTGTGATTTTGATTATGATTATGATTATGATTCTAAGTTTAAATGTCAAAAGAGATAAGCATAAACTTATTATAATGATTATATTTGTTATAAAGTTATGTAGTCTAGATTATAACTCAACTATTATCAAATCATAGATTGCTGTTTTATCTATCTCTTAACCTCTATCTATGAAATCTATTGGCTAATAAAGTAAAATAATTAATAATAAAGTAATAAAGTAATAATTGTTAAAGTTTTAGAAATATTATATAATGCTGACGTAAGCAAATAAAAATATATTAATATAATGACTCAAATCAAAATATAAGAATTTATTTGGATACAATAAAATATTAAAAGTTTTTTAATAAATTTATGATATTTCGAAGATAAGAACTAATTTATTCACAATGTTAATTTCCATATATGACTTAATTCACTTTGCAAAATATACTCTATCCAAAATATACTCTAATATGAGCTAATACTTGCATCAAGAATTAATTCTTCAACTATAAAATGAAGAAGTAACAAGAAACTCTAACATAAAAACAGCAAAGAAATCAGAGAATGGGCATTTCCAACAAATTCATGGCCATCCTACTTGTAGTAGCCATTGCCTTAAGCCAATCAGTCTTGCTCATGCCGGAAAGAGATATTATGTTCACAATCATCAATGGGTTGAGCGACAACGAATTGACTATACATTGCCAATCCAAAGATGACGATTTAGGTGTGCACCTAATCCACATGTCCAAAGAATGGTATTGGACATTTGAGGCTAACTTTGGGGGAACGACACTTTTTTGGTGCAACATGAGTTGGGCAAATCACCATGGACGTTTCGATGTATATTGGGTCAATCGCGAATTGCTTGATAAGTGTGATTTCAAGGAGTGTTTTTGGAAAGCAGAAGATGATGGGTTATATCTAAAGAACAACAAAGACAATTCATGGATTCTGATCTATAATTGGGATTCTTGATTCTGTTTTTCGTTATTTTGTATGATCTTTCTTAACATTCACTTTTATTAATAAAAAAAATGAATGAAGAGAATAAAGCTATTTATTTTCTAGTACATGCTCTTTTATTTTCTCTTTAGGTTTCTAATAGGTTTTATTTTTTTTCTTTAAACAAAAAAAAAAAAGGTTGTGTTCTTCTAACAGCAAGCAAATTCATGCATATTGTATCGGTAATAATATTATCTTTTAAAAAAATAGGAATCCCTTAGTAAAAGATTAAAAAAAACAACAATGAAACAAAATAAGCATGAATAAGCAATCGAATACACAAAAAGCATCAAATGTTTTATCTTAAAATCGTATATCCAATCTAATACCTAATAATTAATATAAATATATAAAAGATAAAAGTTTTATCTCTTTTTGAAATCTAAATTGTCTAAATTAGTGCTTTTTATATTTCTTTAACTATTATATTAGCTTTCTTTTTTTAATATTTTTTTGTTGATAATTAGTTTAAAGATAATTGGGAATATATGGGAAAAGTCTTTCACCAGTGGTGTCACTATAATAAAAGTTGTTTTCACTTTTGGTTGGTACTATATGTCATGTAAGAAACTATATGAAATTGATGGAAAATTTCATTATTATTCCTGCTAGGTTAATGCTCCTAATCCAACTCCAAGGTAATTTGTATTTATATTTTTTATATTTGATACATAAAAAATTTATTATTCATAATGATATAAAAGTATTTTAAATTATTATATTATATTATAATTGGTATAATTTTGTATTTTTTTAGGTACAAGTTGAATATTGAGGCATATGAATAATTCTAAAAAGGCGATATTCGTACAGTTCAATACAAAAGCTAAGAATTAATTAATAGAGATATCGATGATCTTTATGAAATATTTGCTAAAGATATTGAGTTAAAAAATATTTTAATATTATTTAATATTCAAATTAATCGAATGACATATTTATACTTATGATTTAGGAAAATGGAGATTATAAAATCCAAGAGATATTTGAAGATCTCTGAGATAAAATTTGAGTGTTCAAGACGAGAGCAACCAAATATAATCTTGAGACAAGTAGTATCAAACTTATAGTGAATAAGAAGTATGATTATGATTCTAAGTTTAAATGTCAAAAGAGATAAGCATAAACTTATTATAATGATTATATTTGTTATAAAGTTATATAGTCTAGATTATAACTCAACTGTTGTCAAATCATAGATTGCTGTTTTATCTATCTCTTCACCTCTATCTATGAAATCTATTGGCTAATAAAGTAAAATAACACCTACTTCAAAGATAACAAGAAATACTTAGAGAAAGAATTTCTGTATCTTTGCTTCAACAATAACTTATGAAAAAATCTCCCATGAAAAAAGTTTGTATTTTAGATTGATTTTAAATATGAAATTTTTAATTTCTTGAAATCGAAAATATTATTGTTTTTGTTTAGAGATTTTTTGGATTTAATAAATTATAGTTTGAGTTTTCTTTAGAACTGATGATAATTGCATAAATATATTCAATATGAATTAATTTTTTTATTATATTGAAATATATAAATTTGAATAAAAATAATTATAGAAGTTATGAGTTGTTCATAAACTCCATAGCTTATATTATCATTTTAAATAATTTATATTTACATAAGATTTACTGATATGTGAATATATTTTTATGTATCATACGAATTTAAAACTAGTTAAAAATAAGTTTAATGGACTAATAATTATTACAATTTGCATACTACAAAAGATTAAATTGTTATCGTAAAGGCAATAAAATTTTTAAATTGTAAAAAGGAAGTTAAAAGTAGAATTTTAACCTTGATTTTAAGTTGAATTGTCAACTTTTATATTTAACAAAATTACTTTGATCTAATTAAATTTTATATCAGCTTCATATTAATAATGCAAGGAGAAATTCAACCATTAGGTTTTAGTTTTTTTCTTTTATTATGGTAATTTCAAAATTCAATTCTCCAAATAAAATATATTTAAAATTTATTTTTAAACAAAATTACTTTGATCTAATTAAATTTTATATCAGCTTCATATCAACATCTTTCGTTAAATGATGTAAAAGTAATTTCCATTCTTTTTCTTTCCTGTAGCTAAAACGCAACAAAACTTACGGCAAATCTTATTGCATCACATTCAAAGCAATTTCTTTTGATTTCTTTTTTTTTTTAGCAAAATATATTTTTATTCTCAAAATCTTAAAACATATTTACTTAAATTCATATTCCTTCAAAATCAAATTTTACATAATAATCAAATTCACTACAGCGCATTCAAAGTCGCAGTTCACTTCTTTGTAAGTTTTATTATTATCATTTTTATCAAGTAAATAGAAAAAAAGGCAACCCCTTTTTTTTTCTTAATTTTCCTTTCTTCTATAATTTGGACTATGAAAATAGAATTTTGTTGGGACTTTGCCCATTTTAAGATGAACTAAGTTAGAAATTTTTTTTGGGTTTTTCAATTTTGTTCTTGATCATCGTTTGATATGTTCTTAACATATTCTTTATTTTCTGTTGAGTTGCCTAGCAAATCTGATAGAATTAAAGTAGGATATCCGCTTTGTATTGCAGCTGGCTTTACCAACATGTTTCCTGCTCGGAGGTGTGGGTCCCTTAACTCCCCATTTAACTCCCCATTACACCCAAAGAAACAATGGAACTAGAGAAGTCGCGGAGTTGCAGTCCTGAAGTCAGTGAACGGAAACAACGCCCTTTTCTTCTTTCCATCCTATTCTCATATTGTTTTCGCCAACTTCGAGAGGGACATGGAATCCAACTAGATTAAAATACCTTTATTTAAGTATAAAATTTAAATCAGAATAAAGATTTTACACTATTTTAGTTAAAGAATAAACTCCAATAGATTTGGGTTCAAAAATATGGGATTTTTTTCTAAATTAAAGTATTTTTAAATTTTTAATTCCTAAAATAGATTGATTCTAATCTTATTTCTCAAATTAAGGTATTTAAGCTAAGTCAAATTCATGATTGAAACAATCTTAAAAAATTATTTTAAAAATAATATCAAATTAAAAAATAGTTAAAATATCATTATTTTAATATGTTTAAATATATTTTGGATTAAAATTAAATTTAAAAATATTTTTCCTTCTGCATATGTTAGAGTTTTTCCCTAAACTAAACTAAAGTACTTTGCAATCTTATTTCTTTAATTGGAATATTATTAAATTTTATTTTAAAAATTAGGTAATATTATCCGATTCTTCCATTTTTCAACTCATTAAAACTTTCATAAATCTATGATTATATATATATATATATATATGTATCTCTTTTTTTTTTTTCCAACTAAATGGAAATTACTTAAAAAAAAGAAATTTAATACAACATGATTTCTGAAATAACAATTCCCTCCACTTAAAATTATCTAATTTCTGAAATGATCAACTCACAAATATAGAATCAATGCCTCGTGATGCTACCAGCTTTTGAAAATTGCTACCATGCTACCAGCTTGTGAAATATTTTTCATGATGCCAAAACCTAAGGAGATTCAGAAGTTTCTTCAATCATAAATTGCTAGTCAACGTATCCATCACTGCAGTTTTTTATAATGATTTCAGGGTTTCCAACTCCAAGCAAAATCCAGACTTGTAAAATATGCAATATCCAAGCAACTCTATAGAACAAACTTCAGTCATGAATAGGCTCAATCAACACAATTTAAATTAATAAAACCTGCTTATTCATGGGTAGTCCTTCAAAAAAATTAAAAAGAATCTTCTTGATATTTTGACAGAAATCCAATCTTAAAAAAAAAAGTTGTTCAGTTCTCTCATCTTTAACGAAGCAAGATCATTTACAATATACATGTTGTGATTAACATGTGAACACATGATTGTGAAATATATCAGTTGCGGTTCCATTTTTAGTGGGAGGATGTCCATAGACACTTCATAAAATTGAAAAATAATAAAATTTAAAGAAAAAATTTTCACTGAACACTTCGAAACTTTTCTTTGAATACTTCCAAAGATGGAAAAAAAAGATAAAAAATTTTTTTTTCCTAAAACACCATAAAATTGATAAATTTATTAATAATTATTTTATATATTATAAATAGACACCTTTAGAAAAATTATGGATCCGCCATTAAAACCTACATTCTCACTTTAGAAATTTGTGCCACATAAATTCACATGGCAACATCCTAAGTAAATCTATTTAAAGGTCAAGCTATACGCCTAAATCCAAAAACTCGTTCAATTTTTTAGAGGGTTTGAACAAAAAATAAAAACTCTTTAAACAAGTTTAAATATAATTTTTAAACCCATTTAAATTCTAAATCAGGTCTTGGACAAAAAAATTTTAAGCCCAAGCCCACTCGATCCAACCGTAATTTACATATATATAAGTTTTTTATTTTTATATAAATGTGAATTATATATTAATTCACGTATTTATAAAATTTAAAAATAAAAATTATATATATTTTTTATTAAACTTAATTTTTACTTTTATATAATATTTATTTTAATTTATATATATGAATTAAATATAATCCCATTAAATTTAATTGAATTATATATTTTTAATATTTTAGTATATAAATTAAGTTTAATGGGTGCGTTCAAAATTTTTTTTTTTAATTTGAATCAGGCTTGAAAAAATTTTAAAGCCTAAAATTTCAAATTGGGTCGGACTTAAACAAACATATAAGATATTAAAATCAAATATGAACTCAGCCTAAACCCAATCCGACCCAACTCATTAATACCTCTAATCGTAAAATTCAACCAAAAAAAAAAAACTAACTAATGCTGAAAAACCCAATTCTACAAAGTTTCATGATTTTGAAGCGGTAAGAGTGAATTAGATTCAAGAATTCAATTTAACTAGCTTGTAACATGCACGATGCACAGTTAATTTTTTATTTTATAAACATACAAATATAAATAAATGATCATTATATAATAATATATAATATTTTATATAGGTGTAAAATCAATTGGTTTGATGTAGTTTTATAGCTTTAAGTATGATTAATATTTTAACAACCCAACCATTGAAATGCTCAATAGCTATTCTAGAAGCCATTTCATAACCCTCTGCAATCTGGATGGGATGAATCCCACGTTCTAATAGCCACTCTGCCTGCTCTAAAAGTATCCAGCCATGACAACAACACCAATCGTCCCATCACCAATTTCATAATCTGGACTTCGGGATAGTTCAACCATCAATTTGGCAATTTGATTGTCAACATCGATTTGCTCCAATATCGTCGCTCCATCATTTGCTGACAACATCCAAAAAACAAGTCAGGAAACTTTGAACACGATCTAGTGTATGATTTCACTAACAAATCGAAGTACAGAAATATAAATTTCAAGATGCGTTTTCCTCAAACATTAAGTCAGCAAAATTTTAACTAAACCAAAGTTTCCAATTGAAGACTTTTAAGTTTAATAAAGAAACTATAAATCCTGAAATTACCAATAAAACCTACATTTATCTTCACAAATAGCTTATTCTAACTAACTTCTTCTTTCGAAGCTCCAAGCCAAATAGAACATTAATCAAAAATAATTTTTTAAAACCTAATCGAGTAACCAGGAACTTAATGATCAAGCAAAAATTAAAAAAAAAAAAAAAAAACACAAAACAAAAGAGTTGGAAATGAGTTAACTGATGGTGACATCGCCGTCGGGGTTTTGGAAAATTATTTACGCATAATCTTAAGTTGTTAAAAGAATACAAACCAAAAAGATAACAGAAAATTAGTAGAATATAACCAATGTGTTGTTAAGCTTTGAAAGATTGATACTTCTAACCCTAGATTTTTTAAAATGAGAAAGAGAAAAAGGCATTTAAAGGCGAAATCAAGAATTTTTCTCATTAGAGTAATGGCAATGATGGAATTGATTTGAGTTGCTATGGTGAGTAGCTGATTTAGGCAAACAATCATCAAAACTTTAAAAATTAAAAGAAAAAAAAAAGCAAATAAGCTTCGACAGATTAACCAAACATACCTGAAAAGAAGATTTACGACAAGAAATAATGGAAATCGGAGAGGTCACTGGCACATGAAGCAGATGCAGGAGCTGAATAAAAAGCGATGGTGGCACAAATAGAAGAAACAAAGGCGAAAAATTCTTGGGTGGAGACACCAAATTTGCAAATTGAGTAGTGTTCATTGATTTTTCTTTTTTTTAAACAATTTGTTTTTTGGATTTTTTTTTTTTTTTTTTTTTGCTTTTTAAAAGAATGGCTCCTAGTATTTTTATGGCTTTGCCTTTTTAGTGGAAAAAATAAAGATTATCAACAGTGAGGGTGACAGTTATTATTAAATGTTTAGACGATACTTTTCGTTTTTTATTTTTTTTAAGTCAAGATTATTTTTTAATAATAAAATTATTTTTGTTTATTATTCTTATAAAAGGTAAAAAAAATTAATCAAATGAATATCATTTAAGTACAACTAATAAAAATTATTTACTAAATATTATTTTGATTCTTAACTTTTATTAAAATGAAAAATAATTTTTCACTATTTTTTTTTACAAAATAAAAATAAAAAAGTTATAAAATAAACTCTTTTCCTGAAGATGCTCTGCAGTCTAACCGTGGGTTTGAGGCTGATTTCATTTACTTTGCTTAGAAAGTTATGAAAATATTACGTAGATAAATTCACGTTTGTCCGTCATAAACAATACGAGAGTTCACTTAAAAATAATATGACGAGAAGTTCTAACATTAGGTTTGGGTTCAAAAATAAAGAAAAGATTTTTTTCATGTTTCAAAATTATTGAATTTAAAGTTTATAAATGTATTAAATCCATAGGTTTCAATTTTGAGAGAGTTTGAATAAAAAATTAAAACTTGTTAAATAGATTTAGGAACAATTTTAAGTCCGTTTAAATTTTAAGCTGAACTTTAGACAAAAAATTTAAAACTTGAACTTAGTTCGACCTAGTCCAAATTTATATATATACATTTTTTATTTTTATGTATATGTGAATTATATATAAATTAATTCATATATATATAAATTAAAATAAGATTTATATATATTTTATTAATTTTAACTTTTATATAATTTTTATTTTTAATTTATATAAATACGTGAATTGAATATAATTCTATTAAACTTAATTTAAGCATATTTTTTAAATTTTTTATTATATAAATTGAGTTTAATGGGATTTATTTTTTTAATTTAGATTAGGCTTGGAAAAATTTTAAAGCCCAAAATTTTGAGCAAAATTGAGCTTGACAAACATATAAACTATATGATTAATATTTGTTTAAATTATTTTTATTTTTAATTTATTTTTATAATTTAAAATTATTAAATTTCAATCGAATGTATTGTTTGCCTTTGGATAGAACAATGTCTAATTCAACTTGTACACACACTCATCACTTATTTATAGGCTTGACATCAAGATCTATCTACTTAGCACCCTCAAGATCAAGATCTTCTTCACTTAACTGTATCTCAACGCGCTCAAGATCAGGATGATCTCTTCTTAATTGTGTCTCAACACTCTCGATATCAGGATCATCTCTTCTTGATTGTACTTGAACAATCTGGATTGCAAGATCATCTCTTCTCGACTGTGTCTCAGCACTCTTCCCCCACAACGTGGCATATGTTCCAATAATAATTAGTAATCCACCTATAACGCTGTTAATTTTGAACAAAAAAACACCCCAAAATTAGTGGAATATATGATAATGTTATTTGATCAAAAAAGTTGAAAGAAAGTTATTAGATACCTCCCTAGGTGAATCTCCTCGTGTAGTAAAGTAGGGCCCATGAGTGCTGTAAAGATGAGGGCTAAAGGAGAAGTCGCGAAGACAAAAACTGGTCCTTGTTGTCGTGCGCACCATGTTGCAAGCATTACTGACAATCCAGATGCAAGGATGCCCTATCCATTTTATTAAATGAAAGAATAAATTTAGCGGTAAAAAAATATCATTTACTTTTAACTTCTAAAACTTGTTTGTAAACTAAAGCTTAGTATTTCTATCTCTTTTTGTTTTCTCCTCCTAACCCTATCACTGTAGTTAAAAGTTTTTTCTTATTTCAAATATAAGATATAAAAGCATATTAAGAAATGTAATAGATAATTTTATATATCTACAAAATTAAGAAAAAAAAAACAAAATAAAATTAGTAAGTAATTACCGAGTAAGTTATGGCGCTAGCATCCTGCGCCAAGTACCAAGCAGACCAATCCCTCTCTATAGAGATAGCATATATAGTGGAGAGTACAGTGCTACTACTACACATAAACAATAAAGAAGAGAAAACTGGGTAGGAGTATGTCCTGCTCATCATCGTCTAGTTAAAACAAAGGGAAAAAACTAATTGTTAATAATTTATATTTTATTTTAATATAGTTTATATTAAAATTCAAATATATGCATACCAATATGGTAAGAAAGATCGCAAAACAAACACAACTGCTGAAAGCTAACATGATCCCATATACTGGCCTTTGCACTTGGGTTAAAGCTGCTATCCCATGATGCTGTAATAAATCCACAGAAGTGGACCATAGATGGATGTTTGGTCCACTGTAGAAGCTAATAATCATGGCACCTGTGATGCTAATGACGGTGCCAATCAACTTAAACTTACCAGGCCAAGTGGCTAAAGTGAAAGTCTCCATCCTAAGAAAACAAGTAAATATCCTTAGATCCAAACTTTGCTTTTTTTTTTTTTTTTTTTCAAAATTTCCAATACCTGAAAACGATTGCCAGCATGTAAGTGACGGCAAGAGATAGATTTGAAATTGCTGCCAAGTATGTCACAGAAGCAAAAGCAAAGCTGGCTGCAAATATATTCTGCCCTAGTGCTCCCCTTGATTCCACGAAACAAAATTTAAATTAATCAATAGATAATTAGGTTTTAAATAGAAAATTAAATTTTAAAAAATAAAGTGCATACCCAAAAACTCCAGCTAAGATGCCTAAACCAGCTATCCTCCATGTCAATGCGGGCCTTGTACTCCTGCAAAAAAAATTTTTTTTTTAAATTCATACGCAAATTATGAATCAATGTATTATTTATTTCACATTTAAAAAACATATAAATTTAGTTTTTAAAAACGTACCTGTCAACTATCAATGCAAAGGGGAGTATACATATTGTGGCGACGATGAATTGATATACCACCAAAATTCGTAAACTAAAACCGACGTTATAAGACACCTTGTATAAGATATTAACCCCAGCGCCAATGACTTGTGTTAACATCATGCCAAGAATCCAAAAAAACAACCTTGTGTTCATGGTGCTGGAACTAATCATAACAACGTTAGTCTTAAATTGCAAAAAATAATATATTATATTTTTTAGAATCATGCAGTAGACATCATGCCCGGGAAAGCTATTATATTTTTAGAAAAATATCATCACCTAAATATTATTACAGAATCACTACTCAGATTCTCTAAAATATCATTATTAAATCCTTATTATATACATGAATAATATATCAACCATGAATTTAAACATGAGATATTAAATTAAAATAAGAATGAGAATCTAAACAATAAAAGAATTAACAATACATAAAATTAAACTTGTAATTGAATTTAAACAATCATAAATAAATTATAAAATATAATTAAAATCAAACACACATAAAAATAAATAAACTTTATTAAAAACATATTTTATATTTTATATTTTAAAAATTTACTTATCACAATATTCTAAATAAAGAAAGTTACTACTTTATTTTTATTATTATATTCATATCAAGATTAAAAGAAATATATGAGATCCATTACTATGGTCCCACGTCATCCCTTTTTACTGCCTAAATGGTGTTAGTATTCCATTTTAAACCAATCCATTAAAAATGCAAAGAAGAAATAAAGAAAGCCACAATGGTCCCCTCGCCATGGCCTTTGTTTCTTCTTCATATGTGGCTTTCTTTTTTTGACACTATTTCTTTATAATGAAAGAACACAAGCAACCTACATGCAGCAAGCAACGCCTCATACAATGACTACAAACCAAGAAGAGAAAACAGTGACACCATCAAGGTCTCCCAAGTACACCCATTACCACCCTACCTTCCTTGAGACACTACCTACATATGACATCTTTTCTATTTCATTTAAAAAAAAAAAAAAAAACCAATCGATATGAAACAGTTAAGAGACACTCAGCTTTGATAACAAGGACAACAAGAACCGAAACTAGATGGCACAAACTAGTAAAACAAATCAACATGGCGTAAGCTTTCCTACAAGTAGATGCATGGAAAATAAACCATAAGCAAGGGACATGTTGAAACTTTAAGTCTCTTTAAACACATAAGGCAGCAAACATATGAATGATGGAGCTTTAAGACATGCAGCTTGAAACTTCATGGCTTGTACCAGAACCCACACGTGAAACTAAGAGCTGGAAAAGAAAGAAAAATTCAAAGTTTTAGACATTTCTTCACCCTCTAACAACTTACCTCCTTACTTTAGAAACCACCTTCGGTTAAAGCCTTCTTTCCACGTCAAAATGGGATGGACTGTATACATAAAAACATCCAAACCGTGACTGCTTATGGAAGCTAAGCAGCACGGTTTGGCGGCAGCTTTCCAGGTCTCTCTTTTTTCTTTTTTTCTTTTCAACTCATACTAACCAAAGGATGACCATGAAAGATGGAAGAGAAAAGGATTTGGCAAGACTTTATGGGATGAAGCCGATTGCTGCAGCTGCCATTGGAAGAGACAGGGAGCATTCGGCCAAACCAAAAAATCAGAACTTCATCTCTTTTGCAAGAACAAAATAAAACAGAAACATAAATCAAACACAGCTTGAAACTTTATCAACAAATAGCAAACACAAAACATACAAGGAACACATGAAAAAAACTTTGTAGAGCAGATTATGGGGAGTGCAAGATGGCATGAAAATAAAGAATAGAAGTAGGAAATAAGCGCCCTTAAATGGCTGCTCACCTTTGCAACCTTACTATTTTCTCTTGGTTTCTCTCCCTTCTTTTTTTCGCTCCTTTTTTTATTTTTCAGAAGCTTCCTCCCCCCTTTTTTTTTTTAGCTCTCTCCTCCTCTCTTGCCCTGCTCCAGCAACTTCCACCTCTCTTTTTGTTCGGCAGACCCAAGGAATGCCAAATTTTCATCTTACTCAATGAGGGCCCATTAACGGGAAGCCGCGTGCGGAAGGAGTTATAGGCCCATTTCAGCCTTCCATGCAGCATACACTCCATGCATTAATTGGAAACGTCAATTCCTTTACCATTTCTTCCTTAATAGAAATAAGTTCAATGGACGAATAATTATTACGATTTGCATACCATATAAGATTAAATTGTTATCGTAAAAGAAATAAAATTTTTAAATTGTTAAAAAGGAAGTTAAAAATACAATTTTAATCTTGATTTTAAGTTGAATTTTCAACTTTTATTTTTAACAAATGAGGTAGGCTCAAATGCCAATCTCATTTTTATCTTTCATCACAAGTCACAGCTGCCGATAGGATTTGACTCAGCACATATCTTACCTAGCTCATCAGTAACTTAATTTTTGGAGATGCTCTTGGTTTGGAAAAAAATTTTATAAGAAATTTTATAAGTAAACTTTATAAAACTTTTAGTTAAAAATAAGTAAATCAAAATTAAAATAATAAATAATAAATTAAAATATTTCGTCACATAAATCAATAATGTAAAATTTTAAAAAAAATTAATAAATTATCTGCATGAACTCTTTAATCCCAATTATTACCCAAATAATGAATGCATTTACGAAACTAAACAGCAATAACAAATTACAAAAATCATTGTATTATCATTAAACCTAAAGAATTAAACTATAACTACAATTAATAAGAACAAGCATAGGAAAATTATAAGAATTTTCTTGCGGGAAAACATTCTAAAAATGAAGTTGATTGTTCAAGCAAATGGGTATCCCAAAATAGAAAATTTCTGGCCAAATAGAAAGTGCAAGGTTTCAATAATTATAAAATATTCTGCCCATGAAGGATCTACGCTGTAAAGTCTTCGTTATATTGTAAGGACATCAACAAAGTCACATCAAGTCCTACATCACAATTTATTTAAAAAAAAAAAAAACAAAGAAACTAATTGTAGAAAGTCAAATTAGGATGGAGTTCATTATTGGAAATTTCTTTAAAATTTCGAATTAGAGTTCACTTTAATTGGCAAGTGTTTTTAGGTCTTTCTTAGGATTACGTTAGTAACAATTACGTTTTCTCTAATTTTGGATATAGTTTTTAACTTAGAATATGGTGCTGGCTGAGGGCACACGCAATGGTGCATTAAGCTAGCTCTTATGATTAAAAAGCCTGAATATCATTAACTGAGCTTAAGGGATGTGATATAAGATTAATTTGCAAATTACCCTTCTTGTCTTGAAAGTTTGAAAAATTAAGTGTAAATTAATAGGCAGTTAAACAAAAAAGATTCCAGCTTCAATCTTATTAATTACAAAAAATTCACCCTTAATTTTAAAAATTCAAGTGATGTTTATAGGTTTAATTAGTGCTTAAATTCAGAATTTAAGATGAAGTTTTTATCATAGGTCGATTAGGATAATTATTTTCTTTATCATTACTATTAATATGCATTAAAATAAAAGATATGCTCTTCTGTAACGTGCCATCAAAGATAGTAGCATTAATATGTATTAAAATATTCTTTTGAAGATTTTTGATCCCAATTAACAAAGATTTTGTAAAACGTAATCTACAAATATTCATAAATAGTAAACAATTAATTGACTACTACTAAAAATATAAATAAATAGCTCAGCTCAAACAGAAAGAAAATAGAGAAAATTAAAAACTAAAGAGGAAGTAGAAATTACTAAAATTACATGCACATTAAAGAAAACCCAATGCATTACCTTAAGTACCTGTGAATAAATGAACACGTGAATTTCGCATCACATACTCAACAAAGTAAGTGGCAATGTGGCATGGTCAGGAATTTGTATAAGTGGCATTAATATTAAAATATTATTTTTTTTGTTTATATTTTTTTATTTGATATAACACTGACAAAATTAAATAGAGAAAAATATCACACAATATAATATAAATTTTAAATGAATATATATATTTTCTTACAATTTATCCATAATAAAAATTTATTTCAATGATTTCTTATTCTACATAAAACTTTTTCTCAACTTTCTATCGTGCCGATTAAAATGTTAAAAAATAATAGAAGAAGGATATAAAATATATTTTTTAATTTTTTTTATAGTGAGATTAAATTTGGTACTATCAAATAATTAATTATCTATGAAATAATTATTATATCAAGTAGCATCAAACCAATAATAATTTATAAAACTAGATCAGACTCGTCATGAGAAAAATCACACTTAATTAGTGTGATGACAACAAAGTGATGAAGAAAGAATTTTAATAAGAAATAAACAAAAAGTTAAAATTAAAATAAACTAAAAATGTTATCAATGAAAAGGTAAATCGAAATACATGTTAAAAATTTTTTCGAACTCAATTGTTAATGTTTTGAAAATTTCTTTTAAAAAATTATTAATTACTGCAACAAAGCAAAGCAACTTGAGTAATATTTCACAAACTCTATTATATTGGACATTGTTGCTTCCCTTAGAAAACTTTGGAATGCTTTTGTTACGGAATTAACCATCAAGTTCCCTCGGTTTGAGAAAAAAAATTATGTAGTTCCCTATGTGTAAATACTAAACTTAGCAATGATAAGGTAAGCTCTATCGATTGAGTTTTTCAACCATCGAAAGAAGTTATATAGGTTGGGTATCTCAACCAATATAGAAAGCTTTATAATTTTGAGTATCTCAATCAAGAAAGCTCTGCAGGTTAAGTTTTTCATCAAGGAAAGAAGTTTTATAGGTTAAGTATCAACCAATAAAGAAAGCTTTATAGGTTGGACTAAGTTAAATGTTAAATGTGAAAGTCTAAGCATTTTGAATTAGCAAGATATTGAACTTGAAAATTTTAGCCTTTAAGAAATTTTCAGACTTCGATTAGGTTCTACAAGTTAGTAAGCTTAAAAGGCTTGAACCATATAAAAAGTTTAGCCTTTGGCGAAAGTTGAAAGTGAAAGCAAATAGACATTCTTCCATTTATTAGAAAGCATTTGTCAAGAAAGGCTAAGATATCTACTAGTTTATATAAGTCATGTTGAAAATGAATCTTAACACAATGTTAAAGCATCTGTAGATTGCATTGCTGAGGCACTAGAGTCCCCTTTGTGATGTATAATGCTGAAAACTTTGAGTTCACTGCAGAGAAAATGAAAAAAAAAAATTGTAAAAGCATTTAGGAAGTTTATGCAATATCTTTTAGAATTTAGCTCAAAGTGGTGGAAAAGGCCACAGTTAGGTCTTTAGTGATAAAAAAGTAATTTCATATATATAAAAGACTAAAAATTTCATTTATGACCTTACTTTTTGGAAGCTACTATCAGTGATCGTGGTGTGAAGCTTTCTTCACTAAAATTTCTTTTCTGCTCTAAGTTGGTTAAAGAACCAAAGTGAACAAAATTTTATTGCCTGTTGTTTTCATGGTCTTTTACATGACACCTAGTCATTTTCCAAAACGTGTTGTGTATTTCTTTCTTTGAAATTTTCCAAACACTGCTGGGTCAATTTGACTAGATTGCTTGAAGAAAATTTGTATTTATCCGGTTTTCATGCTTTAATAATTTTTACTTGTATGAAATATTCACTATCCCAGCTTGGGTGCTGTCTCTATTGCTGTTAGTTAACAAAATGATTGTTGAATACAGGAGCATTACTTTGTTATGCTTTGCTGGGGCTATCAGGGTTCTTTGTTACATCCTGTGATTGAAGAGTGCGTAATGATTTGGCTCAGCCTTGTCGAGAATTATACCTCTGTTGCTGTCAGCGGGGTATAACTCTACTTGTAAACTTCGATGGACGTTGTTGAATTATACTGTCAGTTTGATATTTTAGCATTCATCATTAGTTTTGCTAAAACTTTGTCAACTTCATGTCGTTGATATACTAAAGGAGAATGCTTAAATCACTTAAACAGGGAAACTGCTGCGATTTATCACCGTCGACCTTATCTTCTCTTTCTCTTCCTTCGACCCCTCTTCTGCCAAATTTTGTCTCATGATTGGTATAGTAGAGTTCATTTCATGTTTATCTCTATGGTTACACCTTATATGTCTATATATGCTTATGTGCAAACCTGCAGCCAACACATGCACAAATACGTGGAAAGGAAGTGGCAATTTGCATCAAATTTTGTTCATGTAATGTTCAAAACCTTGCATGTCTTATACTATGTTTCATCTCTTTAGTCAATTACCCAATAATGTGCAATATGCAATTTACTAATTCAATGTGGAGGAAATGGTGGGTTTCCTTCAATCTGAAAGGAAAATCTACGCTCAAACTGTCAATTGTCATATATTTGGAGGCATCAAATAATTTTTTTAATCCTCCCCTCTTTCCCTCTTTTCTCTTTACTGATATGAAATGTGTCAATTATTTGTCCATTTATTCAACACAAAGAGTAACATTAGCAATCCTTCCTAAGGTAGCAAATTGTTGTTCTTTAACACAAAAAAGAACTCCACTTTAACCCTTTCACTGTTTTTTTTTTTTTTTTACATTAACATCCTCTACCTATGCTCAAATCAATATTTTATTTATTTATCCTCCTAAGGTTTACTGTGCTGCTGTATACATGTTTTCAAATTGGAGCATTAAAGATAGCTCAAACCGATGATGTCTTTGGATGTTCTGTCACGTAGCTATTACTGTATCTCTGATTAATCGGCACTCACCTTTTCCTTCTTCTCTTTGAGACTTGTCACATTATGCATCTTTGTTTTGCTTTCCTTTTTCCTTTTGGTCTTGTTATTTATTTATCATGTGCCATCTGCACATTTTAGAAGAGTCTACCCTGAGTTGCACTTCAAGTTTGAAAATTATATTGGCTTCATTTTTGCTCATTGTATTATTGACCTAATTCTAAACCTTCCACTTCTCTTCCTCCTTCCCTTTCCAGTTCTCCTTTCATCGGTTAATCCTTGTGTTATTGGGGTGCCATTGTTATCGCTGCTGACACCGGACTGGGTTAATGGGGAAACAGAATATAACTTCAAATGGTCTGAAAAAAGTTTTACTAGGATCTGATTTACTTTAGAGCAGGTTGCATTTGCTTCTTATTTATTTGAGATACTAGGCTATTGAAGTATGATTATATTTGTTAAATGTCAAAAGTATGATTATGTCATACTTGTGATTTTGATTATGATTATGATTATGATTCTAAGTTTAAATGTCAAAAGAGATAAGCATAAACTTATTATAATGATTATATTTGTTATAAAGTTATGTAGTCTAGATTATAACTCAACTATTATCAAATCATAGATTGCTGTTTTATCTATCTCTTAACCTCTATCTATGAAATCTATTGGCTAATAAAGTAAAATAATTAATAATAAAGTAATAAAGTAATAATTGTTAAAGTTTTAGAAATATTATATAATGCTGACGTAAGCAAATAAAAATATATTAATATAATGACTCAAATCAAAATATAAGAATTTATTTGGATACAATAAAATATTAAAAGTTTTTTAATAAATTTATGATATTTCGAAGATAAGAACTAATTTATTCACAATGTTAATTTCCATATATGACTTAATTCACTTTGCAAAATATACTCTATCCAAAATATACTCTAATATGAGCTAATACTTGCATCAAGAATTAATTCTTCAACTATAAAATGAAGAAGTAACAAGAAACTCTAACATAAAAACAGCAAAGAAATCAGAGAAATGGGCATTTCCAACAAATTCATGGCCATCCTACTTGTAGTAGCCATTGCCTTAAGCCAAATCAGTCTTGCTCATGCCGGAAAGAGATATTATGTTCACATCATCAATGGGTTGAGCGACAACGAATTGACTATACATTGCCAATCCAAAGATGACGATTTAGGTGTGCACCTAATCCAAATGTCCAAAGAATGGTATTGGACATTTGAGGCTAACTTTGGGGGAACGACACTTTTTTGGTGCAACATGAGTTGGGCAAATCACCATGGACGTTTCGATGTATATTGGGTCAATCGCGAATTGCTTGATAAGTGTGATTTCAAGGAGTGTTTTTGGAAAGCAGAAGATGATGGGTTATATCTAAAGAACAACAAAGACAATTCATGGATTCTGATCTATAATTGGGATTCTTGATTCTGTTTTTCGTTATTTTGTATGATCTTTCTTAACATTCACTTTTATTAATAAAAAAAATGAATGAAGAGAATAAAGCTATTTATTTTATAGTACATGCTCTTTTATTTTCTCTTTAGGTTTCTAATAGGTTTTATTTTTTTTCTTTAAACAAAAAAAAAAAGGTTGTGTTCTTCTAACAGCAAGCAAATTCATGCATATTGTATCGGTAATAATATTATCTTTTAAAAAAATAGGAATCCCTTAGTAAAAGATTAAAAAAAACAACAATGAAAACAAAATAAGCATGAATAAGCAATCGAATACACAAAAAAGCATCAAATGTTTTATCTTAAAATCGTATATCCAATCTAATACCTAATAATTAATATAAATATATAAAAGATAAAAGTTTTATCTCTTTTTGAAATCTAAATTGTCTAAATTAGTGCTTTTTATATTTCTTTAACTATTATATTAGCTTTCTTTTTTTAATATTTTTTTGTTGATAATTAGTTTAAAGATAATTGGGAATATATGGGAAAAGTCTTTCACCAGTGGTGTCACTATAATAAAAGTTGATTTCACTTTTGGTTGGTACTATATGTCATGTAAGAAACTATATGAAATTGATGGAAAATTTCATTATTATTCCTGCTAGGTTAATGCTCCTAATCCAACTCCAAGGTAATTTGTATTTATATTTTTTATATTTGATACATAAAAAATTTATTATTCCATAATGATAATAAAAGTATTTTAAATTATTATATTATATTATAATTGTATAATTTTGTATTTTTTTAGGTACAAGTTGAATATTGAGGCATATGATAATTCTAAAAAAGGCGATATTCGTACAGTTCAATACAAAAGCTAAGAATTTAATTAATAGAGATATCGATGATCTTTATGAAATATTTGCTAAGATATTGAGTTAAAAAATATTTTAATATTATTTAATATTCAAATTAATCGAATGACATATTTATACTTATGATTTAGGAAAATGGAGATTATAAAATCCAAGAGATATTTGAAGATCTCTGAGATAAAATTTGAGTGTTCAAGACGAGAGCAACCAAATATAATCTTGAGACAAGTAGTATCAAACTTATAGTGAATAAGAAGTATGATTATGATTCTAAGTTTAAATGTCAAAAGAGATAAGCATAAACTTATTATAATGATTATATTTGTTATAAAGTTATATAGTCTAGATTATAACTCAACTGTTGTCAAATCATAGATTGCTGTTTTATCTATCTCTTCACCTCTATCTATGAAATCTATTGGCTAATAAAGTAAAATAACACCTACTTCAAAGATAACAAGAAATACTTAGAGAAAGAATTTTCTGTATCTTTGCTTCAACAATAACTTATGAAAAAATCTCCCATGAAAAAAGTTTGTATTTTAGATTGATTTTAAATATGAAATTTTTAATTTCTTGAAATCGAAAATATTATTGTTTTTGTTTAGAGATTTTTTGGATTTAATAAATTATAGTTTGAGTTTTCTTTAGAACTGATGATAATTGCATAAATATATTCAATATGTAATTAATTTTTTTATTATATTGAAATATATAAATTTGAATAAAAATAATTATAGAAGTTATGAGTTGTTCATAAACTCCATAGCTTATATTATCATTTTAAATAATTTATATTTACATAAGATTTACTGATATGTGAATATATTTTTATGTATCATACGAATTTAAAACTAGTTAAAAATAAGTTTAATGGACTAATAATTATTACAATTTGCATACTACAAAAGATTAAATTGTTATCGTAAAGGCAATAAAATTTTTAAATTGTAAAAAGGAAGTTAAAAGTAGAATTTTAACCTTGATTTTAAGTTGAATTGTCAACTTTTATATTTAACAAAGGAGGTAGGCTGAAATGCCAATCTCATTTTCATCTCTTAACATAGTTGTTGATAGGATTTGACCCAGCACGTATCTTGCTAATTTCAGTGTCAATTTAATTTTTGGAGATGTTCTTCCTTTTGAAAAAAAAAAATTTATAATAAATTTTATTAGTGAAATATATAAATTTTTTATTAAAAAGCCAAAGATTGCTAAAAAGTTTCATTATTAGCATTGAAAAAGGTCAAGAAAAGGTCAATAGTAAAGAAATTAAAAATCATGAAATTTGCATTTATTGTCTGTGTTTGTGTTGATATGGGCGAAAAGCCATCCCATTTCACTCGTTTTCTTTGCTAGCTTTGTAGTGTAGGTATAGTTTATGGCAAAGTCACCGCAAAGGTTGTTTTCAATGCACATGATTTTGTTTGTTCCGAATATGTTATCCATGTCTTTTTTTTCCATTGACTTCAAATATTTAGCCAGAAATGAATTAATAGACTATCTTCATATTACTTCCCATACACCAAAAAAAAAAAAGAAAAAGCTTCTAAATTTATAAAAGCATGACAGCGCTTGAAAATGCTACCAAAAAAGTTACCAAATCTTTGTTTTTTTGTAGTGCAATGACCTATCATATTTTATTTTTTTTATTACATTTATGTTCATATTTGCCCTTCATCAACAATACGAAGAGAAATTCGAGCATTAGGTTTCAGCTTTTATCTTTAATTAAGGTAATTTCGAATTTAATTCTCCAAATATAATATATTTAAATTTTATTTTAAAAAAAAATTACTTTAATCTAATTAAATTTTATATCAGTTTCATATTAATAATGCAAGGAGAAATTCAACCATTAGGTTTTAGTTTTTTTCTTTTATTATGGTAATTTCAAATTCAATTCTCCAAATAAAATATATTTAAAATTTATTTTTAAACAAAATTACTTTGATCTAATTAAATTTTATATCAGCTTCATATCAACATCTTTCGTTAAATGATGTAAAAGTAATTTCCATTCTTTTTCTTTCCTGTAGCTAAAACGCAACAAAACTTATGGCAAATCTTATTGCATCACATTCAAAGCAATTTCTTTTGATTTCTTTTTTTTTTTAGCAAAATATATTTTTATTCTCAAAATCTTAAAACATATTTACTTAAATTCATATTCCTTTCAAAATCAAATTTTACACAATAATCAAATTCACTACAGCACATTCAAAGTCGCAGTTCACTTTGTAAGCTTCATTATTACTATTTTTCTCAAGTAAATAGAAAAAAAGGCAACCCCTTTTTTCTTTTTTTTCTTAATTTTCCTCTCTCCTGTAATTTGCACTCTAAACGTAGAATTTTGTTGAGACGTTGCCCATTTTAAGATGAACTAAGTTAGAAATTTTTTTTGGGTTTTTCAATTTTGTTCTTGATCATCGTTTGATATGTTCTTAACATATTCTTTATTTTCTGTTGAGTTGCCTAGCAAATCTGATAGAATTAAAGTAGGATATCCGCTTTGTATTGCAGCTGGCTTTACCAACATGTTTCCTGCTCGGAGGTGTGGGTCCCTTAACTCCCCATTTAACTCCCCATTACACCCAAAGAAACAATGGAACTAGAGAAGTCGCGGAGTTGCAGTCCTGAAGTCAGTGAACGGAAACAACGCCCTTTTCTTCTTTCCATCCTATTCTCATATTGTTTTCGCCAACTTCGAGAGGGACATGGAATCCAACTAGATTAAAATACCTTTATTTAAGTATAAAATTTAAATCAGAATAAAGATTTTACACTATTTTAGTTAAAGAATAAACTCCAATAGATTTGGGTTCAAAAATATGGGATTTTTTTCTAAATTAAAGTATTTTTAAATTTTTAATTCCTAAAATAGATTGATTCTAATCTTATTTCTCAAATTAAGGTATTTAAGCTAAGTCAAATTCATGATTGAAACAATCTTAAAAAATTATTTTAAAAATAATATCAAATTAAAAAATAGTTAAAATATCATTATTTTAATATGTTTAAATATATTTGGATTAAAATTAAATTTAAAAATATTTTTCCTTCTGCATATGTTAGAGTTTTTCCCTAAACTAAACTAAAGTACTTTGCAATCTTATTTCTTTAATTGGAATATTATTAAATTTTATTTTAAAAATTAGGTAATATTATCCGATTCTTCCATTTTTCAACTCATTAAAACTTTGATAAATCTATGATTATATATATATATATATATATGTATCTCTTTTTTTTTTTCCAACTAAATGGAAATTACTTAAAAAAAAGAAATTTAATACAACATGATTTCTGAAATAACAATTCCCTCCACTTAAAATTATCTAATTTCTGAAATGATCAACTCACAATATAGAATCAATGCCTCGTGATGCTACCCAGCTTTTGAAAATTGCTACCATGCTACCAGCTTGTGAAATATTTTTCATGATGCCAAAACCTAAGGAGATTCAGAAGTTTCTTCAATCATAAATTGCTAGTCAACGTATCCATCACTGCAGTTTTTTATAATGATTTCAGGGTTTCCAACTCCAAGCAAAATCCAGACTTGTAAAATATGCAATATCCAAGCAACTCTATAGAACAAACTTCAGTCATGAATAGGCTCAATCAACACAATTTAAATTAATAAAACCTGCTTATTCATGGGTAGTCCTTCAAAAAAATTAAAAAGAATCTTCTTGATATTTTGACAGAAATCCAATCTTAAAAAAAAAAGTTGTTCAATTCTCTCATCTTTAACGAAGCAAGATCATTTACAATATACATGTTGTGATTAACATGTGAACACATGATTGTGAAATATATCAGTTGCGGTTCCATTTTTAGTGGGAGGATGTCCATAGACACTTCATAAAATTGAAAAATAATAAAATTTAAAGAAAAAATTTTCACTGAACACTTCGAAACTTTTCTTTGAATACTTCCAAAGATGGAAAAAAAAGATAAAAAAATTTTTTTTTCCTAAAACACCATAAAATTGATAAATTTATTAATAATTATTTTATATATTATAAATAGACACCTTTAGAAAAATTATGGATCCGCCATTAAAACCTACATTCTCACTTTAGAAATTTGTGCCACATAAATTCACATGGCAACATCCTAAGTAAATCTATTTAAAGGTCAAGCTATACGCCTAAATCCAAAAACTCGTTCAATTTTTTAGAGGGTTTGAACAAAAAATAAAAACTCTTTAAACAAGTTTAAATATAATTTTTAAACCCATTTAAATTCTAAATCAGGTCTTGGACAAAAAAATTTTAAGCCCAAGCCCACTCGATCCAACCGTAATTTACATATATATAAGTTTTTTATTTTTATATAAATGTGAATTATATATTAATTCACGTATTTATAAAATTTAAAAATAAAAATTATATATATTTTTATTAAACTTAATTTTTTTTCTTTTATATAATATTTATTTTAATTTATATATATGAATTAAATATAATCCCATTAAATTTAATTGAATTATATATTTTTAATATTTTAGTATATAAATTAAGTTTAATGGGTGCGTTCAAAATTTTTTTTTTTAATTTGAATCAGGCTTGAAAAAATTTTAAAGCCTAAAATTTCAAATTGGGTCGGACTTAAACAAACATATAAGATATTAAAATCAAATATGAACTCAGCCTAAACCCAATCCGACCCAACTCATTAATACCTCTAATCGTAAAATTCAACCAAAAAAAAAAAACTAACTAATGCTGAAAAACCCAATTCTACAAAGTTTCATGATTTTGAAGCGGTAAGAGTGAATTAGATTCAAGAATTCAATTTAACTAGCTTGTAACATGCACGATGCACAGTTAATTTTTTATTTTATAAACATACAAATATAAATAAATGATCATTATATAATAATATATAATATTTTATATAGGTGTAAAATCAATTGGTTTGATGTAGTTTTATAGCTTTAAGTATGATTAATATTTTAACAACCCAACCATTGAAATGCTCAATAGCTATTCTAGAAGCCATTTCATAACCCTCTGCAATCTGGATGGGATGAATCCCACGTTCTAATAGCCACTCTGCCTGCTCTAAAAGTATCCAGCCATGACAACAACACCAATCGTCCCATCACCAATTTCATAATCTGGACTTCGGGATAGTTCAACCATCAATTTGGCAATTTGATTGTCAACATCGATTTGCTCCAATATCGTCGCTCCATCATTTGCTGACAACATCCAAAAAACAAGTCAGGAAACTTTGAACACGATCTAGTGTATGATTTCACTAACAAATCGAAGTACAGAAATATAAATTTCAAGATGCGTTTTCCTCAAACATTAAGTCAGCAAAATTTTAACTAAACCAAAGTTTCCAATTGAAGACTTTTAAGTTTAATAAAGAAACTATAAATCCTGAAATTACCAATAAAACCTACATTTATCTTCACAAATAGCTTATTCTAACTAACTTCTTCTTTCGAAGCTCCAAGCCAAATAGAACATTAATCAAAAATAATTTTTTAAAACCTAATCGAGTAACCAGGAACTTAATGATCAAGCAAAAATTAAAAAAAAAAAAAAAAACACAAAACAAAAGAGTTGGAAATGAGTTAACTGATGGTGACATCGCCGTCGGGGTTTTGGAAAATTATTTACGCATAATCTTAAGTTGTTAAAAGAATACAAACCAAAAAGATAACAGAAAATTAGTAGAATATAACCAATGTGTTGTTAAGCTTTGAAAGATTGATACTTCTAACCCTAGATTTTTTAAAATGAGAAAGAGAAAAAGGCATTTAAAGGCGAAATCAAGAATTTTTCTCATTAGAGTAATGGCAATGATGGAATTGATTTGAGTTGCTATGGTGAGTAGCTGATTCAGGCAAACAATCATCAAAACTTTAAAAATTAAAAGAAAAAAAAAAGCAAATAAGCTTCGACAGATTAACCAAACATACCTGAAAAGAAGATTTACGACAAGAAATAATGGAAATCGGAGAGGTCACTGGCACATGAAGCAGATGCAGGAGCTGAATAAAAAGCGATGGTGGCACAAATAGAAGAAACAAAGGCGAAAAATTCTTGGGTGGAGACACCAAATTTGCAAATTGAGTAGTGTTCATTGATTTTTCTTTTTTTAAACAATTTGTTTTTTGGATTTTTTTTTTTTTTTTTTTTTGCTTTTTAAAAGAATGGCTCCTAGTATTTTTATGGCTTTGCCTTTTTAGTGGAAAAAATAAAGATTATCAACAGTGAGGGTGACAGTTATTATTAAATGTTTAGACGATACTTTTCGTTTTTTATTTTTTTTAAGTCAAGATTATTTTTTAATAATAAAATTATTTTTGTTTATTATTCTTATAAAAGGTAAAAAAAATTAATCAAATGAATATCATTTAAGTACAACTAATAAAAATTATTTACTAAATATTATTTTGATTCTTAACTTTTATTAAAATGAAAAATAATTTTTCACTATTTTTTTTTACAAAATAAAAATAAAAAAGTTATAAAATAAACTCTTTTCCTGAAGATGCTCTGCAGTCTAACCGTGGGTTTGAGGCTGATTTCATTTACTTTGCTTAGAAAGTTATGAAAATATTACGTAGATAAATTCACGTTTGTCCGTCATAAACAATACGAGAGTTCACTTAAAAATAATATGACGAGAAGTTCTAACATTAGGTTTGGGTTCAAAAATAAAGAAAAGATTTTTTTCATGTTTCAAAATTATTGAATTTAAAGTTTATAAATGTATTAAATCCATAGGTTTCAATTTTGAGAGAGTTTGAATAAAAAATTAAAACTTGTTAAATAGATTTAGGAACAATTTTAAGTCCGTTTAAATTTTAAGCTGAACTTTAGACAAAAAATTTAAAACTTGAACTTAGTTCGACCTAGTCCAAATTTATATATATACATTTTTATTTTTATGTATATGTGAATTATATATAAATTAATTCATATATATATAAATTAAAATAAGATTTATATATATTTTATTAATTTTAACTTTTATATAATTTTTATTTTTAATTTATATAAATACGTGAATTGAATATAATTCTATTAAACTTAATTTAAGCATATTTTTTAAATTTTTTATTATATAAATTGAGTTTAATGGGATTTATTTTTTTAATTTAGATTAGGCTTGGAAAAATTTTAAAGCCCAAAATTTTGAGCAAAATTGAGCTTGACAAACATATAAACTATATGATTAATATTTGTTTAAATTATTTTTATTTTTAATTTATTTTTATAATTTAAAATTATTAAATTTCAATCGAATGTATTGTTTGCCTTTGGATAGAACAATGTCTAATTCAACTTGTACACACACTCATCACTTATTTATAGGCTTGACATCAAGATCTATCTACTTAGCACCCTCAAGATCAAGATCTTCTTCACTTAACTGTATCTCAACGCGCTCAAGATCAGGATGATCTCTTCTTAATTGTGTCTCAACACTCTCGATATCAGGATCATCTCTTCTTGATTGTACTTGAACAATCTGGATTGCAAGATCATCTCTTCTCGACTGTGTCTCAGCACTCTTCCCCCACAACGTGGCATATGTTCCAATAATAATTAGTAATCCACCTATAACGCTGTTAATTTTGAACAAAAAAACACCCCAAAATTAGTGGAATATATGATAATGTTATTTGATCAAAAAAGTTGAAAGAAAGTTATTAGATACCTCCCTAGGTGAATCTCCTCGTGTAGTAAAGTAGGGCCCATGAGTGCTGTAAAGATGAGGGCTAAAGGAGAAGTCGCGAAGACAAAAACTGGTCCTTGTTGTCGTGCGCACCATGTTGCAAGCATTACTGACAATCCAGATGCAAGGATGCCCTATCCATTTTATTAAATGAAAGAATAAATTTAGCGGTAAAAAAATATCATTTACTTTTAACTTCTAAAACTTGTTTGTAAACTAAAGCTTAGTATTTCTATCTCTTTTTGTTTTCTCCTCCTAACCCTATCACTGTAGTTAAAAGTTTTTTCTTATTTCAAATATAAGATATAAAAGCATATTAAGAAATGTAATAGATAATTTTATATATCTACAAAATTAAGAAAAAAAAAACAAAATAAAATTAGTAAGTAATTACCGAGTAAGTTATGGCGCTAGCATCCTGCGCCAAGTACCAAGCAGACCAATCCCTCTCTATAGAGATAGCATATATAGTGGAGAGTACAGTGCTACTACTACACATAAACAATAAAGAAGAGAAAACTGGGTAGGAGTATGTCCTGCTCATCATCGTCTAGTTAAAACAAAGGGAAAAAACTAATTGTTAATAATTTATATTTTATTTTAATATAGTTTATATTAAAATTCAAATATATGCATACCAATATGGTAAGAAAGATCGCAAAACAAACACAACTGCTGAAAGCTAACATGATCCCATATACTGGCCTTTGCACTTGGGTTAAAGCTGCTATCCCATGATGCTGTAATAAATCCACAGAAGTGGACCATAGATGGATGTTTGGTCCACTGTAGAAGCTAATAATCATGGCACCTGTGATGCTAATGACGGTGCCAATCAACTTAAACTTACCAGGCCAAGTGGCTAAAGTGAAAGTCTCCATCCTAAGAAAACAAGTAAATATCCTTAGATCCAAACTTTGCTTTTTTTTTTTTTTTTTTCAAAATTTCCAATACCTGAAAACGATTGCCAGCATGTAAGTGACGGCAAGAGATAGATTTGAAATTGCTGCCAAGTATGTCACAGAAGCAAAAGCAAAGCTGGCTGCAAATATATTCTGCCCTAGTGCTCCCCTTGATTCCACGAAACAAAATTTAAATTAATCAATAGATAATTAGGTTTTAAATAGAAAATTAAATTTTAAAAAATAAAGTGCATACCCAAAAACTCCAGCTAAGATGCCTAAACCAGCTATCCTCCATGTCAATGCGGGCCTTGTACTCCTGCAAAAAAATTTTTTTTTTAAATTCATACGCAAATTATGAATCAATGTATTATTTATTTCACATTTAAAAAACATATAAATTTAGTTTTTAAAAACGTACCTGTCAACTATCAATGCAAAGGGGAGTATACATATTGTGGCGACGATGAATTGATATACCACCAAAATTCGTAAACTAAAACCGACGTTATAAGACACCTTGTATAAGATATTAACCCCAGCGCCAATGACTTGTGTTAACATCATGCCAAGAATCCAAAAAAACAACCTTGTGTTCATGGTGCTGGAACTAATCATAACAACGTTAGTCTTAAATTGCAAAAAATAATATATTATATTTTTTAGAATCATGCAGTAGACATCATGCCCGGGAAAGCTATTATATTTTTAGAAAAATATCATCACCTAAATATTATTACAGAATCACTACTCAGATTCTCTAAAATATCATTATTAAATCCTTATTATATACATGAATAATATATCAACCATGAATTTAAACATGAGATATTAAATTAAAATAAGAATGAGAATCTAAACAATAAAAGAATTAACAATACATAAAATTAAACTTATAATTGAATTTAAACAATCATAAATAAATTATAAATATAATTAAAATCAAAACACACATAAAAATAAATAAACTTTATTAAAAACATATTTTATATTTTATATTTTAAAAATTTACTTATCACAATATCCTAAATAAAGAAAGTTACTACTTTATTTTTATTATTATATTCATATCAAGATTAAAAGAAATATATGAGATCCATTACTATGGTCCCACGTCCATCCCTTTTTACTGCCTAAATGGTGTTAGTATTCCATTTTAAACCAATCCATTAAAAATGCAAAGAAGAATAAAGAAAGCCACAATGGTCCCCTCGCCATGGCCTTTGTTTCTTCTTCATATGTGGCTTTCTTTTTTGACACTATTTCTTTATAATGAAAGAACACAAGCAACCTACATGCAGCAAGCAACGCCTCATACAATGACTACAAACCAAGAAGAGAAAACAGTGACACCATCAAGGTCTCCCAAGTACACCCATTACCACCCTACCTTCCTTGAGACACTACCTACATATGACATCTTTTCTATTTCATTTAAAAAAAAAAAAAAAAACCAATCGATATGAAACAGTTAAGAGACACTCAGCTTTGATAACAAGGACAACAAGAACCGAAACTAGATGGCACAAACTAGTAAAACAAATCAACATGGCGTAAGCTTTCCTACAAGTAGATGCATGGAAAATAAACCATAAGCAAGGGACATGTTGAAACTTTAAGTCTCTTTAAACACATAAGGCAGCAAACATATGAATGATGGAGCTTTAAGACATGCAGCTTGAAACTTCATGGCTTGTACCAGAACCCACACGTGAAACTAAGAGCTGGAAAAGAAAGAAAAATTCAAAGTTTTAGACATTTCTTCACCCTCTAACAACTTACCTCCTTACTTTAGAAACCACCTTCGGTTAAAGCCTTCTTTCCACGTCAAAATGGGATGGACTGTATACATAAAAACATCCAAACCGTGACTGCTTATGGAAGCTAAGCAGCACGGTTTGGCGGCAGCTTTCCAGGTCTCTCTTTTTTCTTTTTTTCTTTTCAACTCATACTAACCAAAGGATGACCATGAAAGATGGAAGAGAAAAGGATTTGGCAAGACTTTATGGGATGAAGCCGATTGCTGCAGCTGCCATTGGAAGAGACAGGGAGCATTCGGCCAAACCAAAAAATCAGAACTTCATCTCTTTTGCAAGAACAAAATAAAACAGAAACATAAATCAAACACAGCTTGAAACTTTATCAACAAATAGCAAACACAAAACATACAAGGAACACATGAAAAAAACTTTGTAGAGCAGATTATGGGGAGTGCAAGATGGCATGAAAATAAAGAATAGAAGTAGGAAATAAGCGCCCTTAAATGGCTGCTCACCTTTGCAACCTTACTATTTTCTCTTGGTTTCTCTCCCTTCTTTTTTTCGCTCCTTTTTTTTTTTTCAGAAGCTTCCTCCCCCTTTTTTTTTAGCTCTCTCCTCCTCTCTTGCCCTGCTCCAGCAACTTCCACCTCTCTTTTTGTTCGGCAGACCCAAGGAATGCCAAATTTTCATCTACTCAATGAGGGCCCATTAACGGGAAGCCGCGTGCGGAAGGAGTTATAGGCCCATTTCAGCCTTCCATGCAGCATACACTCCATGCATTAATTGGAAACGTCAATTCCTTTACCATTTCTTCCTTAATAGAAATAAGTTCAATGGACGAATAATTATTACGATTTGCATACCATATAAGATTAAATTGTTATCGTAAAAGAAATAAAATTTTTAAATTGTTAAAAAGGAAGTTAAAAATACAATTTTAATCTTGATTTTAAGTTGAATTTCAACTTTTATTTTAACAAATGAGGTAGGCTCAAATGCCAATCTCATTTTTATCTTTCATCACAAGTCACAGCTGCCGATAGGATTTGACTCAGCACATATCTTACCTAGCTCATCAGTAACTTAATTTTTGGAGATGCTCTTGGTTTGGAAAAAAATTTTATAAGAAATTTTATAAGTAAACTTTATAAAACTTTTAGTTAAAAATAAGTAAATCAAAATTAAAATAATAAATAATAAATTAAAATATTTCGTCACATAAATCAATAATGTAAAATTTTAAAAAAAATTAATAAATTATCTGCATGAACTCTTTAATCCCAATTATTACCCAAATAATGAATGCATTTACGAAACTAAACAGCAATAACAAATTACAAAAATCATTGTATTATCATTAAACCTAAAGAATTAAACTATAACTACAATTAATAAGAACAAGCATAGGAAAATTATAAGAATTTTCTTGCGGGAAAACATTCTAAAAATGAAGTTGATTGTTCAAGCAAATGGGTATCCCAAAATAGAAAATTTCTGGCCAAATAGAAAGTGCAAGGTTTCAATAATTATAAAATATTCTGCCCATGAAGGATCTACGCTGTAAAGTCTTCGTTATATTGTAAGGACATCAACAAAGTCACATCAAGTCCTACATCACAATTTATTTAAAAAAAAAAAAACAAAGAAACTAATTGTAGAAAGTCAAATTAGGATGGAGTTCATTATTGGAAATTTCTTTAAAATTTCGAATTAGAGTTCACTTTAATTGGCAAGTATTTTTAGGTCTTTCTTAGGATTACGTTAGTAACAATTACGTTTTCTCTAATTTTGGATATAGTTTTTAACTTAGAATATGGTGCTGGCTGAAGGCACACGCAATGGTGCATTAAGCTAGCTCTTATGATTAAAAAGCCTAAATATCATTAACTAACCTTAAGGGATGTGATATAAGATTAATTTACAAATTACCCTTCTTGTCTTGAAAGTTTGAAAAATTAAGTGTAAATTAATAGGCAGTTAAACAAAAAAGATTCCAGCTTCAATCTTATTAATTACAAAAAATTCACCCTTAATTTTAAAAATTCAAGTGATGTTTATAGGTTTAATTAGTGCTTAAATTCAGAATTTAGGATGAAGTTTTTATCATAGGTCGATTAGGATAATTATTTTCTTTATCATTACTATTAATATGCATTAAAATAAAAGATATGCTCTTCTGTAACGTGCCATCAAAGATAGTAGCATTAATATGTATTAAAATATTCTTTTGAAGATTTTTGATCCCAATTAACAAAGATTTTGTAAAACGTAATCTACAAATATTCATAAATAGTAAACAATTAATTGACTACTACTAAAAATATAAATAAATAGCTCAGCTCAAACAGAAAGAAAATAGAGAAAATTAAAAACTAAAGAGGAAGTAGAAATTACTAAAATTACATGCACATTAAAGAAAACCCAATGCATTACCTTAAGTACCTGTGAATAAATGAACACGTGAATTTCGCATCACATACTCAACAAAGTAAGTGGCAATGTGGCATGGTCAGGAATTTGTATAAGTGGCATTAATATTAAAATATTATTTTTTTTGTTTATATTTTTTTTATTTGATATAACACTGACAAAATTAAATAGAGAAAAATATCACACAATATAATATAAATTTTAAATGAATATATATATTTTCTTACAATTTATCCATAATAAAAATTTATTTCAATGATTTCTTATTCTACATAAAACTTTTTTCTCAACTTTTCTATCGTGCCGATTAAAATGTTAAAAAATAATAGAAGAAGGATAATAAAATATATTTTTTAATTTTTTTTATAGTGAGATTAAATTTGTACTATCAAATAATTAATTATCTATGAAATAATTATTATATCAAGTACATCAAACCAATAATAATTTATAAATTAGATCAGACTCGTCATGAGAAAAATCACACTTAATTAGTGTGATGACAACAAAGTGATGAAGAAAGAATTTTAATAAGAAATAAACAAAAAGTTAAAATTAAAATAAAACTAAAAATGTTATCAATGAAAAGGTAAATCGAAATACATGTTAAAAATTTTTTCGAACTCAATTGTTAATGTTTTGAAAATTTCTTTTAAAAAATTATTAATTACTGCAACAAAGCAAAGCAACTTGAGTAATATTTCACAAACTCTATTATATTGGACATTGTTGCTTCCCTTAGAAAACTTTGGAATGCTTTTGTTACGGAATTAACCATCAAGTTCCCTCGGTCTGAGAAAAAAAATTATGTAGTTCCCTATGTGTAAATACTAAACTTAGCAATGATAAGGTAAGCTCTATCGATTGAGTTTTTCAACCATCGAAAGAAGTTATATAGGTTGGGTATCTCAACCAATATAGAAAGTTTTATAATTTTGAGTATCTCAATCAAGAAAGCTCTACAGGTTAAGTTTTTCATCAAGGAAAGAAGTTTTATAGGTTAAGTATCAACCAATAAAGAAAGCTTTATAGGTTGGACTAAGTTAAATGTTAAATGTGAAAGTCTAAGCATTTTGAATTAGCAATATATTGAACTTGAAAATTTTAGCCTTTAAGAAATTTTCAGACTTCGATTAGGTTCTACAAGTTAGTAAGCTTAAAAGGCTTGAACCATATAAAAAGTTTAGCCTTTGGCGAAAGTTGAAAGTGAAAGCAAATAGACATTCTTCCATTTATTAGAAAGCATTTGTCAAGAAAGGCTAAGATATCTACTAGTTTATATAAGTCATGTTGAAAACGAATCTTAACACAATGTTAAAGCATCTGTAGATTGCATTGCTGAGGCACTAGAGTCCCCTTTGTGATGTATAATGC